CACATTTAGCAGTACTGTGACAGCCAAACTCCAGATCAGTTTTCTTGTGGGCTGGCACGCCATCAATCATGTCACTGTGATTACAGTGATGCAGACTTTATATGACATTGCTTCAATTAAGTGTACCGACCTAGACTGTGTGATTTATTGGTGCACAATGTGACCGACTTACCTACAGCACAGCGTCTCATGTCTGGTCCCAGCTCCATGCCGTCCGGACAGGCGCAGGTGTACCTGGGGGAGTGCTCCGTGATCTGAGGGGCTTTCAGACACAGGTACTCGCAGCCACCGTTAGGCAAACTCCCCATATTACAGGTGTCTGGACCTGGAGAGACACAAGCAGAAACAGAAGGGAATTAAAAGGTTAGGGGAAATATGAGTTTGTAGTTGGTTCCACACAAATAAATGTAATATAACAAATGAATCATTTTATGTTTACACACTGCAAAACCACTGAAAAACACAATTTAAAATCCTTCAGTACTTTTTAAATATCTGGTGCTTTGCCAAAATGTGTGCAAGCAAATTGTCAGAAACAGGGTGATGAGCACCAAGGTTTAAATGTGCTGTGGACTGGAAGAATTAAAAACAGAGCCCTGACTTTGGGTCTTGGTCAGCGTCAAAGTAAACGGGAACTGAAATGAAGTTGGTACGGATTTGGACAAACTGTTTAGGAAGACTAGGAAAAAAAATCTGAGTGCATGTGTGAAACTGACTACAATTGTAAATATGAGCTCAAAACAATAAGTACATGAATTAGCAAAATATCTTTGACTATGTAACAGCTTAATAATAGTGTCTGATCATTGTCATCACTCTGGTGTTATTGTAGGAGTGATACTGACCCCCAAAACACTAAGTCACAGAAAAGTAGTAGAGCACCTAATCAGAGTACAAGTACTATTTTCTATCTATGAACCTTATTAAGAACTACAGCAAAACAACATAAAATAGATGAAGAGACCACCTTTTATAGTGTTATTAAGGAATATATAATTATTCTATGGCCCATTTTCCAGTCCAATGAACATATACTTAGGTTAAGACAAAGGTGCCTGAACTTACCTCTTTAAAAATGTCTACACAAAAATGAAAAGTTTACATTTAGTGTCACGACTTAAGACCCAGAGTCATGAAGAATACTGCTAATCTTGTCATGTGGGGAAGCACCAAAATTAGGTCAGGTCATGGTCTATTCTGCCTTTTTCACTGGAATCATCAGTTGTCAGGGGAAGGAGCAACATCACTAACTACAAAAAGTGAGATTTTAATAAGCTGGGAATACATTTGTGCTTCAGTGTGGTACAGTACTTCAGCATAATAAGCACAGTACAGTAATATGAACACATGTCTAAATGAAATTTTTATAAAAGCTCTAAATATATTCTATCACCTGCTTTCCACATTAGGAAGAAATTAAGCGCTTTGAGTAACAGCAGGCTTCTGAAATGCAATGACAGACTGTGGCAATACATTTCAATTCTATGCTGGGGGGAAAAAAGGTGCAAGCAGAAATTAAATGAAAATTAAGGGTATAAAGAAAATAAAGGAGAAGACACCAGAAGATAGCAGAATGACTCCAATGTCCTCTCCTTGTGCACATCCTTAAGTCTATAAAAAGAAATAAAACATGGATCCCAGGCCTCAAAGCACAGCTGGATGGATAAATATAAACAAGGAAATAACAAAAAAGGCACAAAGATGATAGAAAGTTCTTTTAGGAAGTGTGTCAAAAAATGAAGACAAGTTGAGGATACTGAACCAAAAGTTGTTGGAGCCATAGTGGTGATATTTGCTGTTGAGGCTTCGTTTGCATACATGTGCTGTATTTCCTCACAGACTAAAACTCACTTGAGTAACACATAAACCTGTGGAAAAGGGGAAGAGAGCAGGCTGACCTTGCTATTGCTTCAGCTGAGGCCACACATTACATATTTCACTTCAGTACTACCAGTATCTTCATAGGACAGCAGTTCACATAGCATCTCCATCCAGCCCAGCTAGGCCTGGTTGGTTTATGGCTCCTTTTTGTTGGTATTTTGAAGAAAACATGCTTCAGTTTACGACATCTTTTTGAGCGGAACTCTTGATGCATTAATGAGAGAATGTAATTAGCTCCCTACTGGCACTCAAACAAGATTGCTTTGAGCACCGAATGAGGGGAGAAAACAAAACACAGACTCCCACAAACAAGTTGCTAACACACATTGTCAAACACACTGATGTACACACAAACAGATGCTAACTACACTATGTGCATACTCTTGGGAATGCATCCATCCTGGGAAAAAAATGATAAACACATAATTTGACATGCCCTGCACACCCATACATCTAATCCCACACATCAGGTTATTTGTTTTATTGTTTTCAAACAGTTTTAATAAGTGGATCCTTTAGGCTGTAGATAGATAATTCAAGGCTTTGTTATCAGGAAATGCAGCGTTGAAAGGGATTGTTGTTATATTTTTTATGCAATTTGTGTCTGCACATAAACTAAGTAATTACTATACCTACAGACCAACACTGGGAAGACATGTCAAAGGCCCTGCACACTTACATACATGTTTTCACTAATTCTGGGTGATTAGTCCTCTGCCAAGGTTGAAACTGGGCAGGGCTTTGCTGGGAATTAGGTGAGGTCTCCAAACTGCAGTGAGAATGATACATAGAGCAACCATAATCAGAGCCCATGATTCCCAGTTGCAATGTAGCTCCTCATGTAATCAGTTTGCTACGGTCGTCTGTCTTTTACTCTACCGCCCAAGAGATCACCAGTAAAAATGAACAAAAAATGTCCATGTCATGTCGTAGCTGCTATCTATTTCATCTATGGGTCTTATTTACCCTTGGGCTGCTTCTGTTCATGAAACACCACCAGGTCCAGAGGGTTATTGAGGTGCTCGGCGACCTTTGCCACATCACGGCCCGTCAGTCGGTTGGCGCTGTATATCGCTTCGTCTTCTAAGTCCGTCCAATATATACGATCCTGCACAGACAGAGAGAAAGACAGCTGAAAAAGCATGCGTGCTACAGTAGTTGCTAAACCCTGACCTTCTACCCATCATAAGTTAAAAGTGGTAAAACAAGTTTGAAAAAAGAAAAATACAGAAGACAGTAAAATTCAACAAACAATTTAAAACCACATAAAGCTGTATACAAACCGGCTGCTTGTTGCCATGGCAGACATGCATGCACATTCACATGTATTTAAATGTACTAGTTTTGTTGGTAATGGGGGACCAGTTTACATCCAAACCTATACTCATCAGTTTCTTTAGTGACAGAATTTGATCATATCTAGGTTTGTAGGTTTACAAGTTACTTGGCAAGAGAGAAACATGTTTTAGACGTTTCATGTCTGGGTTAACTTTAATTAAATCTTTAATTGAAGGCATAAGAATAGTGACAGGTCTGAAGGCAAAAATAATAGAAAAAAGGAAGAAGTAAGGTTAAAAGCAGTGCTTTTTAGTCAACGAGAGGTTTAAACAGACTGAATATGTTATATTGTGATTGGGAGTGTGCTGTTTTATCCCCTGACACTTTCAGCATTCAATCCTGGCAGTCACTTAATGCCAAGCAAATAATATTTTTTGACAGTATGTTGTAAGTGTTGCTCCCTCCTTGCATCATTGCAACAGAACTAGTAATTAATGATAGTAAACAAATCTTTTCTGTGATAAAGTACCACAGCCTTAAAACATTGTGTGGTTTCAGTTAATGAGGAAAATGAAGGAGCTATTTGTATTTTTAGCCATTTTAATTATAATTGCTACTTAACAAATTAAATGAGAGGTCTAGAATTGTTGGATACTGTAGCCAAAGTAACTTGCCTCCTCAGTGCACAGTGGGCACACAGGAAAAGGTGTTTACCGCAACAAAAATGGGCTTTTACAGTTTCAAAAACAAATAGAAGGACCTCATATTGAGGAAAAACATCAGTATTAGTTGTTTATTGTAAAAGTGTTTGTCCTCAGTGCCAAATCAGGAAGTAGTGAGACTTTTGGCTGTATGTGGAGCCTTAACCTTAACCCTGCTCCACTAGTACTGGCTACATCAACCATACTGGTACAACTGGAGTGGAATCAGAAAACCCTAGGAGGACACTGATATTACAGGTTGTATGATAGTTACTTACTATGTATATCAACAAGTGAGCCACAATACTACTAGAAAATATGACATCCATGATCATTACTGGTCTGGCAGATAAACCTGTGCCTTTCTTACACGTTTCTTCCTAATGTAATGTTTAAAAAATATTTACTTGCTCCTCCATTAGTTGCTTTTGTGTCTAACACCTCCTCACAATTCTCTCTTGTGATACTACAGGATGGTTATAGCACTTGGTATCCACGGCAACCGCAGACTGCTCCTTCTAAGCAGACACACATCAATTAAGAAAAAGAGAAAACAATAGAAAGCAAAAACAATGAGATGCTGAGATCATATCAAAGGCTAAAAAAGACTAAAGAGACAAGAGTAGAGTGCGAGACAAAGAGATGAAATGGGAGTTGTGGTGGCTTGTATTGGTATTTTTCTTTTAGGCCGAGGTTGTGTTTACACTTTAATGGTGTTTTAAAAGGTCAAGGACTTGTAGGCTTCTGAGCACAGATCTATCTGGTATTGTACACAAGTAGGTCTGTGCACCTCTGCATGTGATTCAGTCATCGCTGTAATCCACAGTGCATTAGTGCTGAGTTACCAGTGGACCTAACCTTTCTCCCACCTCATCTCTATCCTTCCATCTCCCCCTCACTCAGATTCAGATAAATTGATATGAAAGTAGAGCTAAAACAAATAAAGACAAATATAAGTATACTCAAATCTATAATTCCATCTCCCCTTTTGTCTTTCTGACTTTGTGGATACATTTTTCTCTCTCAGTTTCTCTACTGTCAGTCTCCATGTCTGTCACCTTTTTTCCCACACTGAATATTTCAAAAGGCAATGCTGACCCGAGCAGGTCGGCGCTCCTCACTGTAGGATCAAGGCGAATCTTTCATACACAGACAGACCTTATACATAAGCACACACACAATCCCTCCATGGCACACATGGCGTTGTGTCACTTCAGTCTGAGCTATGTCTGTCTGTGGTTGTCAAGGAGACGACAGTTCATCGACATGGATATGACGTCCTTTTAGGGTGAAGTGGAGAGCAGCCCTTGATGACTGATGATGAGAACAAATGCTGGGGCCCTTTTGACTGACACATCTGCCTGATGAGCTTTTGGTGCCTCCTGCATACTTACAGCAGATGTCATGCTAGAAAGCTACAAATGAAAGCTCAGACGACCCATTCAACTTCTGAAGCCTTTGAGTTTTTGGCTTTGATTTGAATTCTTTATTTGCATCAATCCAAGTTAAGAAAAAGCAGTGTGGTCTTGGTGTTACAGCAAATCTGTGTATGGATCGAATGATGTCAGGAGACATTTTCTGGACATGTCAGCTAAGCTGAAAAAGAGTATTAAAGCTTTTTCACAGGCCTGCTACACCTACACAGGTGTTTAAAGTCCAGTTGATTAGACCTCAAGGCTGTGGATGAGGACAGACTGAGCTTGACTGACATTTTTTGTTTGCAATTCTGTTAAAACCCAGGTCTTACATGCTCCTGTCTAAAAATATTCACTCCCAGTCTTATTTAATTGATCCCCGTGTGACTGATAAATTCTAAAATGTATTTAGTGTTTTAGTTTGAGCATCAGTCAGTTCTGGCAGACAATATTCATTATTATCCCAGTACAACCTGTCACACTGAATCCTTTCTGGTGGAGTGTTCTAATACATGTTCTTTGACTTAAGGCAAATATTGTTACTCTACTGTAGGGGCAGGGCCTTTAAAACCTGTTTAAAACCTCCTACAATGTGAAGTTCACAACAAAAGGACAGATACGTGCCTTAGCACAATTTTTCTTTCTTCCTGACTGTATTTGTTCCCACACTTCTTTCAATCACCTCCCTCCTCTCTGCTTCTTCTTCTTCCCAAAACTCATCTCATCTTCACCTCTATCTCCTCTAGTCAAACAAAGATGGGATGAAAAGTAATGTGATGATACTAAAGCTAGAGAAAGAGGAAACATTACTCTCTGCTTGTCTCTGGGATCTATATCTCCTCAGGGCTCGATGTCTTAGCAGGGGGTGGACACACACTGGAAGGGTTTGTACGAGTGTGTTTTTTTATGTGTGTTTCGTGGCGTGGTGTGTTTAGACTGTGATATAGGAACCCTGTGTCTTTCCTCTACAGTGTTAGTACATTAATACTGGTCTAAAGTGTGCAGATGATACATTCAAGTGGAATGACTAACATTCACAGCATATCACTCAGGCCATAACCCACATGTTTGTGAAACCTTATATCTGTCACATGCCCAAAAAATACACTGTATGGGTATGTATGTATAGAAACAGAATGCTTTAACTGATTAATCAGTTATTCAATTTGTCTATATAATGTCAGAAAATAGTAAAACAATGCCTTCTACAACCTGAGGTGACGTATTCACATAGCTTGTTTTATTCAACCAAATGTCCAAAGCTCAAAGATTTAGTTTGCATATATATGGTATGGCAAGGCATCAGATCTTCAGATTCGAGAAGCTGGAACTTGGGAATCGGTTTAGCATTTGCTTAAAAAGATTAACTTTCTGTTGACTGTTGTCAGTCTTGTCAGACTCTTCCCCTGCAGTAGTGCAAAGGTGCTCACAAACGTCAGTTTACAATAAACAAAAAATTCAAATCTCACTCAACTTTACCATTCTTGTGGCATACAAATCTCATAAAAAAGAGCAAATGTCTTCTCAGATGCATTATAAATGTGATCAGTTTACAACTGTGATGGTTTTATAATCACCGCCAGTCTAGTACTGCTACATCAGAAATGGTAAAAAAATGGTTTAAGTGATAGATCTAATATTCTTTTAATCAACAACCTCATGTCAGTAAACGCTCCACCATCATCTCGTTACAGACCCCGAGTGTCTGAGACCTGGAAGCTAATTTTCCAAGCTACTCAAAAAACAAACAAGACAAAACTTTCCATTATTAGTCTGTTGGGACCAGGACAACCTGCTGCACTACTGGAGGATTTTTAATTTGCTCGGTATCATAGCTAGAACAGAACAAAAACCAGCTGGTATTATTAATCTCCTGGGATAAACTGCCTGAAACCTTGGTCTTCTTCCTTTCTTACACTCACACACACACACACTCACACACACACACAGGGGCACACTCAGTGGGACATGATGGATGTCCCCTCTTCTCTTTGCTTCTCATTATCACACTGTGTGCAGCATAGAGAGGAATGGACAAAGCACTTCCTACTGATCACATTTCACCTCCCTCTTTCTCCCCCTCATCCTTGCTCAGCTCCGATTCTCTTTTCCACCTGTTTTCCACACCATCTATACTTGATGGACTCTAACAGACTGACTCACCTCAATAAATACACCCAAATTAGTTTCATCGATTGCAGCAGTCTGTCATGACTCTATGTTCATTGGTCCTTGAAAACAAAATTCTTCGGGTTTATCCTGCTACTGTATTTTTAAAACATCTCCATCTCTCATTTCTTCTCTGTTCCTCTATTGACTTAAAAATAACACAATAACAGCAAGAACCCATGTCCAATGCTTAAATTTGCTCATTGTAAATCTAGAATAAACTGCCAAAATGGGAATCATCAAACAAGATACAAGAGTGCCACCCATGAGGCAGAGACACGTGCAGACAAGCCTGTTCTCTGTGCATGTCTGGGTAGACGTTTCTGGAGGAAAATAAGAGGATTAGCATCATGTCTGCCTCTCAGGTAGAGACTTCCTACAAACACAGCCAAGCGTTTGCCAGAAATCCTGTATGCATGTGTGTGTATATTCTTTTTTTCAAGGTTCAAGCTACCTTCTTCGTTTTTACTCCTGAATTAAGATACATTGTATTGAGCCAGACAAGAGGGATTTTGACATATTACGGACATATTACTGCTTGTATGTTCAGTTTACCAGCATAATGAGAGACCAAAGTTTTTCAATACCATTAGCTGGACTGATTGAGTGTGTTTTAATCATACCTCAAACACAGTGAGGGCAAATGGGTGTCCCAGGTGATGATGGGAGGACAGCAACACTTTTCGGTTGTCTCCATTCAGATCCACGCTGGACAACAGGTGCAGCTTGGAGTCTACCCAATACAAACGCCTGTTGGACAAGTCTGAAAAGATTTGGGTGGGTGGGGTGGGGTGAAAAAACCAAGGAGGAAAGAAGAAGGAAGGAGAGAGAGATGAATGAAGAGAGAGAGGTCATTCCAAGAGAAAAGGCCTGGGGTGAGAGGTATATGAATTTAACGACACAACGGCTCCACCATCAATCTTCTTTGACATGCACCGCGAAAACACAGATGTAATAGTAATATTGCCGCTTGACTTCTTCACTGGGAAAAATATGTGTGCCCTTGAGCAAATTGATTAGTCTTGTGAACTTATTTTAAAGGGCAAAGTCAATGTTTCACAAGTCCAACTCCTTGTATTGGTCCCCAATAATGCGTACATTAGAACCGCATCATTTCTGTGCCTCTGTGATGGGCCATAGTGTAGTGCTGGGGTTGTCTTCAAAATGTAAATTGTCTTTGACAGCAAAGGACAAAACATGAAATTGTGCATGAATAAGAAATTGCAGCTTTTTCTCCCCACATTCCCACTCTCAAATGACCATTTATTAACAGTTTACAATGGATTTGTAAGAAGTCGAAACATCTGCTGTGGGATTAAAACACACCTTAAATCAAACAACATGAATACGGCACGTTTAAAAACTAGAAATCGGCTAAGTAGTCATTAGAATGGGTATATTTGGGTTCACAAATCAAGAAAAACTACTAGCCTGTATAATTTTGAGCGGTTAACTGCTAGGTTTTTGCCAACCATTTCAACCACTTTAAAACTAACATTTTAATAATTATCAATATTGTCTGATTAAAGACATATTTCCTCCTTTAAAAGCAGGCAATTGATCATATGCTACAGGGATGCCAGATGAGCAAACTGAAAAGGGATTTAACATAATCGAGCCAATGACAAACACCACATAATAATTTTCATTCCCATCTTCATCTTGCCTGACTCAGACAATCACCTGCTCTGTTTTCTACTCTGTATGAAATCAAAGGCCAGAGGAAAAACAACCGCCTCCTTCTCTCACAGCAGTATGGTGAAACTCTCACCAACTGTCTCATTCACCTTACTCAAAAAATAATTTGTTTTCAAACAGATGTAGCGACACCTCAATTCCACAGAGTATGGCAACTGTATGCCTCTCTTTCTCCTCAGGCAAGGGCAGCTGAGAGAAATTGGCTGGCACCGCAGAGGGGGTTGAAAGGGATGATGGGAGGTATTGACGGCACAGAGCGCCTGGCTTATTAATTCGGAGGCCCATGTTTGCCAGCTTGATTGATGAGAGCCAGACACAAACTGAGCTATAATAATAAGAGCTGCTCAGGGATTGTAGCAGCCCTGTATTGTTTTTTCTTTGTTTCTCTCTCTCTCTTCTGTCCCCTCCAGAAAACCTGACCACATTACACCGGCTTTAGCGTTCCTTCATTGACTCCCTATCCATGTCAGATCTGACTTTATGGTGCTTCTACTGACAAACAAAATCCCAAATAATAGGCACGTTCCTTCATACCTGGCTGATCTCCTTAAACCTTATATTCCATCCCATGCTCTCCCTCTCAGGGCTGATCTCCTTAAACCTTATATTCCACCCCATGCTCTCCCTCTCAGAATACAGAGCGTCTAAGAGTTTAATAACAGATTGCAAATCCCAACTTGTGATCTTGAGCTAGGACAGCTCAGTCGGTAGAATATGAGACTCTTAATCTCAGAGTCGTGGGTTTGACTCCCATGTTGTGTGCAACATTATTTGGGTGCCTGTGGCTCAAGAGGTAGAGTGCTCATCTCCTAATAGAAAGGTTGGCGGCTTGATTCCTGGTGTCCCCTTGTAACTTGGTTTTTGAAACAGTTTTCCCTGCTGATGGCCTTTCCTGTCTCTGCATTATCCTACATTATCCCTTTCTCTGCTCTATTTAATGAACCTTGCATGTTCCTTACCCAGGGTGATTCCATTGGGCCACTCGATGTGTTGAGACACCAGAACTTGTCGGTCCACTCCATTCATCCCAGCCTTCTCAATTTTGGCCTGACCTCCCCAGTCTGACCAGTACATAAACCTGTTGGAAAATATACCAACAAGTTAGATATGAACAGAACTAATCCAGTAAAAAAAAAGAAAAGGACCATTTACTAGAAGCAGAACAGGTTGTTATGTTGTTATGTGCAATGCCACAGTCCATTTTTAGAAGACTGACTGTATGATAGAGTTCAATAGATTCAATGTCCATGACTCTGTCTCGCTCTTATTTTCTCTCCAAACCAGTAAAAATTGCTTTATTTCTGCAGCGCACCTTGACATCACTACAGGGAAATGGATAGTGTACAATATGTCAGACTTGGACTACTCTGAAATGTGTGTGTTCATGAAAAATCTGTGAAACTTATGCTTAATTTGGATGCATTTCATGCTTTATTACATCTAGAAATAATGGTTAAGCTGTTTAATTGATTGATTAACCGATGTGTGCAGTTCCACAAATAGTTTTGTTGGGGAGTTATAAAAATGTTTTGAGGCCCAGTTTAGAAAAGATGTTTCACTATAATAACACTGGCTTTTAACCCATTCAGAAAATGACAATGAGCGCCACGGGCTTCTTCGATCACTCTTCCACTCCCTTTCTGGCATCCATCCTCCACTGCCCTTTCACTCAACTGCTTTGCCATCTTCTTACACTCTTGCCTATTTGTCCAACAATCCCTCCACCCTCAAACATCTGCCACTCACCCTTGGTGTGGGTCCACAGCAATGGCCCGTGGCTCGCTCAGCTCTGTGGCTATCAGCACTTTCCTCTTCCCGCCATCTCCCGTGGCAACAGAGATGCTTTTGTTTCCCGAGTCGGTCCAGTAGATGTTCTTGTGGACCCAGTCGACAGCCAGGCCCTCGGGAGAGTGGAGCGAGTCGATGAGCGTCACTTGCTGTGATGAGTCACTAGCCTTGTTGATGTAAGCACTGTTGGGTGGTAAAGAAGTATGCCAGTCAGTATTCTGGAAAAAGTCTCCAATCCATAGCTAAAGTCATACTTGTTAGATTTGTTGGTCTTTGTTCAGGCTTTCTTTTCTTGCAAAGAAATATTTGAATGTACTACATGCCTTGGATACAGAGTAGCAGAGGGAAGAGGTTTTCGTTACCATCCAAATGTGACGGCTCTATAACAACCTCAGCCCTCCCACAAAACAGCACCTCCTAGGGAGAAAGAAACTTTCTTCATCATTATCTTAAAAAACAACCTGCTTTTTTGCTCTGTTGTCACGATCCCCCTGTGTCTGCCCCTCTCTAGTCTTCTCAGTCTGTTTCATTTTCTTCGTGCTTCCCACTCACTTTCTGCCCATTTCTCTGTTCCCATTTTTCTTTTCTTTCCTCCATCAGCTCTTTCACTGGTAAAACAGATATGGCACATTAGTTCTCCGCACTTAGTAAGAACTACAAAGTAAGAAAATACAACTTTGTTAAGAGGTTGGGAATCGCAACGTGTAAAATTACACCAAATAGTCCGGTGTTGGCAAACCGTACAGGAACAAGAAGAGAAGTATGGATGGGAGGAGAAGATTAACTAAAGGAGAAGGCTGGTGAGCAAAGAACAGGCGGAGATGGATGAACACATTGTGCTGCTAATTGGCTGTGTTACTGTTAGCCACTCCAGACATCTTTCTATAAGGGGAAGTTTGCCTGCTGCTGTCTCGGGAAAGATAATCCCAGATTCTTCTTGTGTCCCAGGGTTTATAACATGAATCCAACACCTGACTCCTATATTAAGATGACCACTGAAGCACTGGAGCAACAGTATTTTCACAAACTACTAGTATTCTTCACTATTTTGATATTTTTAGCTAAAAAAAAAACAAGACTGGGATGCACAGATTAGAGGGATGAATAGAGGGCAGGCTGCAGTGAGGAATAAGACAGAGACAGATGAGTTGAGGACCGCTGAGCAGATTGCATCTGTCATTGGCTGTATTACTGTTCACAACAGACATCTCCATCATGAGGAGAAGTTAACAAGTCATTGACCCGTAGCATGCTAATCACTATGAATTAGCTTTAAGAACCATACTGTCACGGTGAGGGTGAATGAAGAAAAATCACTTTTAAATACACTGATATTTCCATTTGATAAAACGCCGCTATCTAATCAGAGGGAAAGCATCTTCACTGGAAAATCAGGTGTCTGGCAAAGAGGTGTGATCAATCATGTCATTAGCATTAGGAGTCAAGGTATTCCACTGCACAAAGTGGCACAAGAAAGTGTATTTGAAGCATATTGTATATAACAAGCCAGGTAATAAAGAGGCATGATACAATGATGAAGCATTTTTTCCACAGGAATTTCCACAGAATTTTAAAAATAAGTGATTAGAACCCTGATAGTTAGTATGAATTCACAGTTTCACTTTATTCATTCAGCCTGGTATCTTGCATCATGTCTAAATTGTCTTTCTAACTGTCAAAAATCACAGCACCAGATATTTAAAAAATGCTAAAGAAATCAGAAATGTGGGCAGTAATTTAGGAGCTGGAAAAATGTAAAGGCATATTTACTGCAGTATTTGTGGCACAGCAGATACTGTATGTAGCATATGTCTTTAAAACTATGCTGAAGTACAACAGAAAAAAAACATATCAAAGAGAAGGTATATGCTGAAAGCAAAACATCAAACTGTATCTTGAAACAGAAACTCAGCACCATAAATACACTGAGCTTTTATGTTTTGGGGCATATAAAGATATTTGTTTTGAAAGGAATGAAAAGGAAGCAAACAAAGCCAAGAACAAGCCCAAGTGCATAAAACTACACACCTTCACTTGTTGCTGGCCATTTAAAGTGTCTGTATGTGTGTTTATTTGCTGCTTCCGAAGAGTTCATCATGATGAATGAGCCCATTTGTCCTTTCTGTCACAAGCCCTTGAGTGTATCACTGAGTTTGTGTGGGAGTATGTGTAAATGTGTGTACGGAGGTGAGTAATGGTGGCGATTATTGACGCAGTGAAATTAAAGAAAACATATGGCTCAGCAGAGATGATAGAAGGCCCCTCCCACTACCTGCCACACACACACACGCACACGCACACGCACACACACACAGCAATACAGAATGTGTGTGTACTGTATATGCATGAAGGACAAACAGCTCCACCTTTTCCTGTGAGACTGATGACATATCCTTCCAGGTGTGACTGACACACTCCCTGTCTCTCTCTCTCTCACACACACACACACACACACACACACACAGCTGCCAGGTGCGTCTGTCTCGCTACCAGAAGGTGTGACAGGTTGAAGCAGACAAGGTGGATACACAGACACAGAACGGCTGAAGAACGAGGAAAGATTGTCTAAAGCCCCGACTGTACAGTGTGTATGTGTGTGTGTATACCTGTATATTTTACGATGATATAGATCACACCAGAACATCTTGTTAGTGGCAACGTCTACATCTAGGGCCACAGCGTTCTTCAGCGTGGGAACCACCTGTGTGTATTCACTCCTCAGCAGGTCAATGCGACGAATCTCATGACGGTTGGTGAACATCAGGTATGGACTCTTTCCTGACGGAGAAGGAATGACAATCATGTCACATTTATGTACAAGGGCTTCTCTTGAAGAACACTTTCTGCCATTTATTTACTATGTGACATGGACGCCACAGAGGTGCAGGGCCATTAACCTACTGTTATGGCTACTGTTATGGCCTACTTGGCCATTTGCAGTCAATAATGTAATAGTGTCTATGGAAAAGGAAATATTTGTTGATCTTGACAGTGACACATAAGTTATACCACACTTCTCAAACATGTTTTTGAAAGGTGAACCTGCATCTTTGCTAACTGCAGTATGTGCAGTGAGCCTGAGACAGACAAGGTCAGACTTACACCAGTACAACTGTGATGTATTTCAGTGCTGCGCTGTGTCACTAGCTCAACAAGAGAACAACAGCTGAAAATTGACTTGTCTGTTCACTTGAAAAACACAAGCTTGTCTTGTAATACTGTATTAACATTTAAACACTGGCTGTAGCAACTCCCTTGAATGCATTATTCAATAAATTTGAAAGCCAACTAGCCAATGACAACTGAACTGTACATATATCTTATATGGGCTATGTATGTTTTCTCTTACTTTATGTCTTTGACCACTCTGACACTGATGAGGATATAGTAGTGTCAACACATTCTGTTTGCACTGTTAAAGGCAGCCAATAACTCGGTATGCTCGAGCCCTTTTCCCCTCTGACATGTACTTTCAGCAGTACTGTTAGCAACCTATACATACAGGTACCATGTTTAGAGCTGATGCTTAATCCCAAGAGGGAATATAATGTATTGTAAGTGAGGTTTTGCATTTGTATTATTTACACTGTTGAAGCATGTATTTTTGATTATAGGAGTGTAAATAAATCATCCAAATAAACCTTTTAAAGAAAAAATTATATATATTTTTACACACACATTCTGGCACAACATAATGCTACACAGTCAGTAACATGCATAAAATAAAAGTTGGTGCATACTCAAAGCACAGGAGGCTTCACTGTGTGTGTCCTACAAGATGAAGTAGCAAAGCACACTGTCCTAGTGACTAAAAATAAAACAGCCTGACAACTAAATGTGAAATGTTCTATTTTTAGTACAACAGTGTGTTAGAAGCGTGTTTCTGGGTTCTCTTCCTCAGGTGCACACAGTATGAGCTGTTCACTGGCACATTAGTTACCTGGGGCACAGTTTTCACCAAACTGAAGGTGAGCATGATTCAAGCATTTGAATAACTCTCATGGAGTCACCAAGGTCAGCTTCATCTGCAGTATACAAGCAGTACCTGTGCATACACTTGCATACGGTTTAAATATTTTCAGCTCACACACAAACTGTATATACACTCAGAAATCCATTAAATGTACTACTAAATCATCTATAATTTGTCAAACTGCACTCCAGTAATTTTGCCCTGGATTTCTGTCTGTTTGTTTAACTCTATCTATACATCACATTTTCTAACTCCTCTCCTCCATCCTCACCTCTCTCAACCATTTGAAATGTGTCTTATTATTCCACACTGTCCAGTAAGGCAGAAATGCTCTGTAAAGCATTTAAGGAAAAGACAAATTTGGGAAAATGTCACACTGTACACACACATGCACAAACTCATATTTTCACACAAAGCCAACCATGCCTCAGTAGTTTTCGTCAGCCCTGGTTTACTACAGGTTAACACACAAGGAGAAAATATTATATTTTTACTGCTGTTTGGATCAAATCATTTTCCACGGACTACCAAGGTTGTAACCATCAATTTCACCTGCTGTGTGTGTGTGTGACAGAGCAGTGAGAGAGCAGGATGAAGCAAGCAAGAGAGCGGTAGAAGCAAATCTGATGGATGCAGGTCGAGTCATAGAGAAATGAAGAGTAAGATGATGTACTGTAATTAAGGGAGGAAAAAATAAGCAAAAGATATCAACAGATCAAGTGACAGCAGCAGGAAAAATCAGGTGGGTGGAGAGAGAGCAGGGAAAGTGAGGAAGACATTCCGACAAATGTATAATGACAGATATAGATCTAACTTCTCCTTCATCAGTCCCTTGACTCACTTTTTCAAGACAACATCCCTTACCCCTTATTGTTGTTGCAATACGTTTTCCTCAAGGCAAAAAAACCCCAAACCAAACCAAAACAAAAAAAAAGCTGAGTCACTGTTTTCTTCAGGCTATGGCATTTGAAATGTCATCAAAAAGTGCAATATTATCTCTCTTCAATAGATCCCAGCAGAGCTACAGTCAGCATTCATAACAAGAACAGGGTCCCCTAGATACATTTTAATCTGTATTACCAGTTCAGGGAAGCTCTGCCCCGTTGGCCAATTAAGATAATGTGGTAAAAAGATAAATATGGGCTGGGGAAATACTGTCAGGCACTGCAGCATTGATTTGATTCACACCAAAGCAGATGTTTATGTTGTAGAGGGATGCAAAGTAAGAGGAACAATCAAACATATTAGACAGAAAGGTCAGAAATAAATCTGTGAAATTCTGCAGGCTGACAGGGATGCATGGAGGAGGTTATTAGGACGATGTTATGTCTGGAAATGAACCCACATGCCTAGGTCAGCCATGCTTGTTAAGACATACAGCCTGTGCTATACAATAATGAACAGTTGCTGCCGCAGAAAACAGAAGTGAACTTTCTGTCAGATGTCAAAAAGTCAACCTGTTTGCTAGCATTCCCCATGAAAAAGCAAGTTAAAGTTTCCTTATTTCTGTAGTGATAGTCCCTGTCACAAATGGCTGCATTTTCTACTTTTAATAAAAGTGTGATTATTTGTATCTTTTGTGCATCTGTATTTAAAGTTGTGACCATTATAAAGCTTGAATGGCCAATGAAAGAATAAAACACAGGATACAGATGATTATTACTCTATGCGGCCAAATCTGTATTTTGGAATAATATTACCAAAATTCTTATACGAGGTTCAACAGTGTTCCACAACATCTTGGGTTCAAGGGCAAAGTGTTTTGACAAAGGGGGAAATCTGACCACTGCTGTAAATCCATTGTGAAGGATGTGCTCAAACTGTCAAGTGTGGCACAAACCTTTTTTTAAGCCTGTCGCACACAGATCAGAGCCAAGAACAAGAAATGGGAGAAATGAGCAAAAAAGAAAAAAAAAACAACAACTTTGCTCCATATGCAGTTTGTAAATTTGCTCGGCATCACTGTGACGGTATGTCCTGGATATATCAACCAGTTTGTGTGTGTAGCTACAATGTATTTGGTTCCGTCACATCTTTGTCATCCTTATCTTCATTCTGATCCTCCGGACTGTAAATCTGATTAACTTTTCATCGACAGGTATGTGTCTGCCTGTAGATGTTACCCCCTATTCAAAAACATTTTAGTATAGCCAATACTGTCCCTAAAATCCCCTGACATTGAATTGTTTATAGGAAATGGCACTTTCAACATTAACTACTACGCTGTAAAGACTGCTTTGTATTCTTCTGTTTTTATATAGCAAATACTAATACAATTTTTTTTAAGCTGAGCCAATGTGGGATGTTTATTGCCATGAGTGACACTTCAGATCTGCAGGGTAATCACCATTGTGTTGTCAGCAGACCTGCATAGTGTTGAATAAAACAGCACTAACATTGTTTTATTGTGTAATAAAAAGAATACAAAAGTGGCAAAACATTTTTCTCTAGGAGTGATACTGTAACAACTGTCTTAATGATCTGTGACTTATCACTTATATCATGTCTAGATGTCCTAAGCTGATCCTTATTGGTGGATCAGAATTGGTGCTGATATTTACTTTTCCTTTGTGCTGAATTGTGATCTGAGTTTTGTCTAATGCTGAAAAGTTGCTCTCTTTTTTTGACAGCAGCCCCCATTGGGTGTCGTAGACAGACAGCTACAGCCCCACAACTACACAACACATCTGCAATGTTACAATGCAACAGGCTGGAAACATAACAGCTACTTTCAACATGACCACTATAACAAGGTATGTTAAACGATAAGCTCAGTCATTTTCTATATCAATATTATTTTCAACACTCCCCCAGAGACTAAAACCTTATGGCTCATGTCTGTCAGTCCTGGATTAGCTTGTTCATCTGTGCCATAGACCTCCAGTGCTGTTCAAAAACAATTAAAAACACATCAGTGCAACACAACACTGCACTGGTTGACGCATATCCTCATGACAAAACACAAGATGTGCAGATTTGTTAAAAATGTTGCAGGTAGTTCAGTTTAGTCTCTGTATGCGGATCATTGGAAAATAATATTAACATAGGAAATGACAGGCATTATCCTTTCAAAAAAAACAAACATCCAATAGAATACACCGACTTCTCACAAGTGACGACACAAAGCAGCAAACATTCACTTCAGCACAAAGAATGACAACTCAAGTTGACAACTCACTGAGTGGCATCACACCCATATGAGTGTAAACATAAAAACAATGAATGCATTTAGTGTAGAACAAGGCTTAATGGATGCTGCCATATGCTAATACAGAAAACACACATGTACAGAAATACCAGCTTAGAAGAGGGAATGCACTGTATCTCCAAGCATGGGATTTTACTTTTAATTAGCATTGCTGATGCAACAGTTGCATATTACTCTGAAATTAATCTGCAAAGCCAGAAACCATGTGCTAGGATTAGACTGAAATACACTTGTTGATATTGGAGAACAAAGAGCAGAGATTTTCATGCAGCTGTGAGTAACACTTGTCACACTTATCTGCATAGGCTTAACTTGCACTAACAACAGCAGACAGAGAAGGAAATGTAGAAAAAATACATCTATATTTGGCACTGCATGTAACTTGAAGATGATATTGTGTTTTGCTATGTGCCTCTGAGACAGAAGCACAAATACAAGCCTGGCACTTTGCAGCCTGAACTTTATATGTACAACTGATACTGGCACTTGGCATGTGTCACATCTCATCACAGAGCACAATGTTCCTCCTGACCAGACAGTCACAGGGGCATTGTATCTCTGCTAGAATACTGACATGACTCCTCAAAGTAACTGCTGTACATGTGCCTTTATATGACCAAAATCTAAGCTGTATGTGACTTTCTGTGGGCGGTGTGTGCGTGTCTAGGAAATGAGTTAATGCAAAATGCATCTTCATTAAGTCCACACTAACTCAGCTTCACAAATGAGCCACCTCTGTATTTATGGTTAAAAAAAACTCAATATACACAATTTGGCATGCTATAACAAGCTACAATCAATAGGGTAGATACATGCATGTCTGCATACAATGCATGGACAGTGCTTGTTTTGTTCTCATCTGCTTACCCATCCTCCCTTCAAATAAAAGCCACAGCCTCTGACAAGAACTGTTTGAGCTGCCTAAAAGTAATAAAGATTCACAGAGAGAGACATAAAGCAATCAATGGTAGTTTTTATGCCACTTAGTTCAAGAGTAAGGGCCTGCTTTAAGCTCTCTCATTGCCAGATCAGTTCACCCTATAATGACTCAACCTAAGACTGATGGTGGTAATCACTGATCACACTCTTTTCTCTCTCTTTTCCTGCAGAAAGGTTAATTTGCTGTGCAACTTAATCAGTTACAGGTTCCATTCCCAGTGTGTGTAACAGCGTGGTCGCAAGGAAGTTATTTTGTTGTTTTGTATAACTTCAGTGCGGTTTCGAGTCTTCTGTAAGTCTGCAGGTACAGCACGCACCCTTTTATTCTTTTTAATGGAAAAGATAAGCTGTTTGGCAGTACAAATAACAGCATAATTCTGTTTTCGGTGGTATTAGCAGTAAACTATACATCCATTTTTGGCACAGCATCACTGCACACGAGAATCTCTCATTTGTAAGTGGTAGCAGTACAGTGTAAATATCATCTGCAGGTGTTCAAATGGTTGTTGACAAACACCATTGTTATTAGTAAAGGTGGCTGTGACAGACTTATTAAAAACTCCCAGAATTCACTTGCAGCTTGTCAAAAGGCACAGCTAACAAACTGCAGTTGCATCTTCCCTTCAGGATACAGGCAGATAATTCTTCAAAAATCTTGCCTGGGGCAACTTTGAGGACATGATTTTTATACCACTGCTCAGTGTTTACCCAGGCCAAAGAGGAGGTACAGACCCTGCCTGTGTCCCACAGTGAATGGGCTTGTCCCCTCCCCACATCTTTTCCTTGGCACTCCAGATAGAGCACAGGCAGCTGGCTGCAGATTTTTCATTAGTGGGGACTGCACAAAAAGATGGCAAATATTTATCTTTGCAAAGATTGCGGTGCAAGGCCTGCATACAAAGCAACAGCGTGATAATAGTGTGGGATGTGACTTGGTAGTTAGGGGTGCTGGAATGGCAGAGTAATTGGTGTGGTCTCGATGTGTGATTCCTTTAATTGGTGTGGTCTCGATGTGTGATTCCGAAAAAAGTACATGTGTGCCCATGTCTGTATTTAAGTGAGAACATCCATCTTTGACAAGGCACGTCTTTATCTGTACAAATGAAAGTGAGTGTGTGTGATGAATAGCTCACCCACAGCTTTGCAGGTCTTAGAGGCAGGGTCCATCTCGTAGCCTTCGTAGCACTCACACTTATAATCTCCTTTGTAGTTGATGCAGATCTGACTGCAGGCATCTGGGTTCTCACATTCATCTATATCTGTGGGGACAAATACAACACAAAGAAAAGAAATGAAGATCAAAACTAATGAGACGTACACTAAGACCTTTATGTCTAAAGAGCTAATAAAAGAAACGTGTTCAGTATCTGGCATGTTAACAACTGCTCTCAAAAGGATCTTTTTTCAAAAGGAGAAAAAGGAAAAGGCAGGAAAAGCTTGACCAGGTTTGGTTGGTTTGACCCAGACAAGGTGTGATTACACATTAGTCATGGTCTTCAAAGCTGTAGTTCTGTCACATAACTTTTTTATTCTTTACCTCCACAAGTCTTTTTGTCCAGGAGTTTGTACCCAGAGGGACAGTCGCACTCGTAACCAATTCTCCGGTCCCTGCAGATGTGGGAGCAGCCGCCATTATTGTCTGCACACTCATTCAGGCCTGCAGGGAGAAAGGCAATAGGATAAAGGACATAGGAAGGGACAGGAGGGGACACAAGAGGAGGGACAGAAGTAAGTCCTGTTTAGTGATGAAATAATGCAAACAGGCTTTGTGACAGAACAAATCAGCCTGCGTAAGACACAAAGAAGGAGTTGGATGGAAATAAAAAACAGGAAAAAAAAAACACAAATACATGGCCAAAGATTTGTGTATGTGCACTGCTTTAATCATCCTGCCATTTAAGATAATTAAGTCCTGTCAAGTGCATCTGTACACATGAAATTACAATTTATAAAGGAAAAATGAGCGACAGAAAATGGGGGAATGAGTGTGTATGCCATGTAACAAGGTGTGATTACACATTAGTCATGGTCTTCAAAGCTGTAGTTCTGTCACATAACTTTTTTATTCTTTACCTCCACAAGTCTTTTTGTCCAGGAGTTTGTACCCAGAGGGACAGTCGCACTCGTAACCAATTCTCCGGTCCCTGCAGATGTGGGAGCAGCCGCCATTATTGTCTGCACACTCATTCAGGCCTGCAGGGAGAAAGGCAATAGGATAAAGGACATAGGAAGGGACAGGAGGGGACACAAGAGGAGGGACAGAAGTAAGTCCTGTTTAGTGATGAAATAATGCAAACAGGCTTTGTGACAGAACAAATCAGCCTGCGTAAGACACAAAGAAGGAGTTGGATGAAAATAAAAAACAGGAAAAAAAAAACACAAATACATGGCCAAAGATTTGTGTATGTGCACTGCTTTAATCATCCTGCCATTTAAGATAATTAAGTCCTGTCAAGTGCATCTGTACACATGAAATTACAATTTATAAAGAAAAAATGAGTGACAGAAAATGGGGGAATGAATGTGTATGCCATGTGTTCATGTGGAGCTTCTTGTGAGTGTGTTTGTGGCCCACAAGCACATTCTTAGCCAATACACCTGGAACCAATCCATTTTCCAACAGGGAGCTTGGCCACATATACCAGGTGCCACTCTACTATGGTATCACGCCTATTGTTGCACAAGCACATGCTCTCCTTCATCCTCTCTCATCTTAATTCTCTCCATGTCCTCCTTGTTGTTTTAGTAGAACAGATTGGACTCCCTCTCAGTCACCTTCCCTCTGTCTACCTTCCTTTTTTGTGACAGTTTCTGCGGCTCCATTTATCCCTTTGTCTTTCAACTCCCCTCCAGGGAGTGGAGTGCGATCACTGCAGAAAGCTAAAGCTGGTACTTCATTACTGGTTTACATTAAAGATTTAAGTTTCAAGGCTACAGGTACCGCTGTGAGACAATGAGAGTGGCACAGAGAGAGAGATAGAGAGAGGGACAGACAGAAAGAGGAAAGAAACACTGAGGAATTAGCATGACACCAACTAACTATAAGGCTGTTATTTGTAGTATAGCCAGGGTACTCTATCCCAATTATTAAAGTAAAAGAAAGTTAAAACCACAAGAGACTTCTGCTTGTACATGCACTTTCACTGATCTGCCACAAGTTAGTTCAGTTGCAACTACATGAACTTTACACATATTTTAAAGGTATCGTATTCTCAGCTCTCTTTGCAGCTGGACTGCTTTGCTTGTGACGCAAGATCCACGGCTGAAGTTCACTGAAGTGGTAATTATCTATGATTTGTGGATAATCTCTTTATGGATAACACTCAAGTTTTCCTGGCTAAGATCGCACTAGAGGGGAAAGTCGCTTGGCTCTATGATCATAACAAGGCAGTTAAGAAATGTTCTGATTTACCTTTCCTAAATCAAATGAAGCCACTTTTACTAAGAAGAGTGACCACCCACATCAGAAGTAGTTGATGATGCACGGGAATGAGTGTTTCCGTACATTAGCGTGTACATAAATCCATGTATGCCTGAGGTTGTGAAAGAACTAATGAGTATCTGGGCGTTTTGTGTGGTAAGAAAAACAGAGAAATGCTCTTACCACACTCCTTGATAGGTTCGTCAGACCAGTCCTTGCAGTCTTTCACATTGTCACACACTTTGCTGCTGTCAATACACTCCCCATTTTTACAGCGGAACTTTCTTGGCCCATCACACTTTGTAACTGCAGTGAAGACAGAATACAACAAAGTTAAAGATTTGATTTTTGCTTACCGTACTACATCACTTTTCAGTTTAAACCATAAAATGTTCAGGGACTTCAGCGGCTGACTTAAAACAATCCTGCACAGTTGAGACAAATTTGTAATCTGCATCATTAATATCACTCCCACAAAATGTAAATTGCTAAGTTATCATAGTTCGTAGGGATTCGCAGGGACTTCAGCGGCTGACTTAAAACATAGTTCGTAGGGATTCAGTAAGAGCAAACATTTGCTTTATTTTTTCTTGAGTATGAAAAGACTTGGTTAGGTGTATTTAATGTCACACCACTGCAAAAATAAACTGATTAGTTACATATAAATCTAGGCATCTTAGAGGTAGCTAGGTGTAAGGATGGAGGTGGTTGAGATTTGAATTTGTGGAGTTTATTAAGGGCACTACACAGGGAAACCAGAGAAACCATTTGGTAATAAGTTCCCTTAGACATTTTCTTCAAAGATGTTAGTTTACTGAAGGTAAGTTTGATATTTTGGCTTATAACAGTGATAAAGTGGATAATATTTTGCAGATGGTGGTGGCGATCAGTAGGACTTGCATAAATTACTTGTGTGTTGGCCTTTCCTCTGTGAGAACTGGTAATAACAGCAAGCTCTCACACACAATATGAAAAATGGGTGTTTTTGTGTGATCACAACATCACAGGTTTGGTGGGACTGAAACTAAACTACTTGACTACTAGATCGCTTAGGAAACTCACCAGAAAGTGTCACTGTTATATTTAGAATGCTCATAATGTGCATAGTTTATGATGCCTGACGGTGTGTCTGTTTTTCTTGATAGCTTTTTGTCATTCACAAGAAAATCTATAGCATGTACAGGTGAGTACACACTTGTAATGTTCTGTTTGCCTTTTGTAAAAACTGAACAGTAAAAAAAAGAAAAGAAATCAAACTCGTGTTCACAACTATATTTCAGAACAATGCCTTCAAGATCACTGCCTGTCACAGTGTCTGCTGTATGCCACAACATGTAATTTCAAGGGGATAGGCATGTTAGCAAAGAAAGAAATCCTTGAACACCATGTGCAGTGTAGCACACTATACAGGTAAGCACAG